CCTCAGTCTTTAATGGTAAGACTTGTTACTCCCTGGGAACACAGCCCTCTGCACTGGTAGATAGGGATAGAGAGCAGAATAGGCCTTGCATTATCCATGATGAGATAATTTTGGACCTGCTCTGAAATCTGGATGCTCAAAAATCCATGCGGCCATTTGAATTGCACCCTAGAGTGCTGAGGGAGTTGGTGGATGTGGTTGCCAAGCCCTCTACATCATTCTTCATCAGTCCTGGCTAACCAGGGATGTCCCAGCAGACTGGAGACTGGCAAATGTGACAGCCATCTTCAAAAAGGGCTGTAAAAATGATCCTGGGAACTACAGGCCTATCAGTCTCACCTCGGTGCCTGAGAAGGTTATGGAAAGGATAATCTTACGAGCCATCATGGACCAGCTAAAGGTCAACCAGGGGATCAGGCCCAGTCAGCATGGGCTTACACATGGTAGATCCTGTCTGACAAGCCTGATTTCATTCTACGACAAGGTGACCTTAGTGAATGAAGGTAAAGCTGTCGATGTGGTCTACATGGACTTCAGTAAAGCCTGTGACACTGTGCCCCACAGCGTTCTTGTGAAGAAGCGGACTGCCTGCAGTTTGGATGGGCTTATGCTGCACGGGGTGAAACAGTGGCTGGATGGCCAGACCCAAAGAGTTGTGGTCAGTGGATTTAAATCCAGTTGGTGGCCAGTCATAAGCAGTGTCTCCCAGGGCTTAGTGCTGGGGTCACTTCTATTTAACATCTTTATTAACAGTCTTTATGAGCAGATTGAGTGCACCCTCACCCTCAATAAGTTTGCAGATGACTGCAACCTGGGAGGAAGTGTTGATCTGCCTGAGGGGAGAAGGGCACTACAGAGGGACCTGGATAGACTGGATCAATGAGCCAAGGCAAACTGCGTGAGTTTCAAAAAGGCCAAGTGTCAGATCCTGTATTTTGGTCACAACAGCCCCAGGCAATCCTACAGGCTTGGGGAGGAGTGGCTGAGAAGCTGTCTGATGGAAAGGGACCTTGGTGTACTGATGGACAGTCAGCTGAATGAGCCAGCATTGTGCTCATGTGGCCAACAAGGCCAATGGCATCTTGGCTTGTATCAGGAATGGTGTGGTGAGCAGGACTAGGGAAGTCATCCTGCCCCTGTACTCAGCACTGGTGAGGCCTCACCTCGGGTACTGTGTTCAGTTTTGGGCACCTCAGTACAGAAAGGACATTGAGGTGCTGGAGCAGATCCAAGGAAGGGCAACAAGGGCTTGGAGAATGTGCCCTGTTAGGAGAGACTGAAGGAACTGGACAGTCACAAGTCCATGGGACCGGATGGGCTTCATCCTAGGGTGCTGAGGGAGTTGGTGGGGTAATTGCTAAGCCGCTCTCGGCTATCTACCAGCGCTCCTGGTTGACTGGAGAGATTCCAGAGGATTGGAGGCTTGCTGATGTGACACCCATCTACAAGAAAGGCCGTAAGGAGGATCCAGGGAACTACAGGCCTGTCAGCCTGACATCAGTGCAGGAAAGGTCATGGAACAAATCCTCCTGGGAGAGATCACATGGTTCGTGCGTGACGTTTATGGGATCAGGCCCAGCCAGCATGGGTTCATGAAAGGCAGGTCATGTTTGACCAACCTCATCTCCTTCTACGACTGGGTGACCAGACTGGTAGATGAGGGAAAGGCAGTTGATGTAGTCTACCTAGACTTCAGCAAAGCCTTTGACATGGTCTCTCACAGTATCCTTCTGCGGAAACTGGCTGCCTGTGGCTTGGACAGTTTTACCCTCTGTTGGATAAGGAACTGGCTGGAGGGCCGTGCTCAACCGGTGGTGGTCAATGGAGTGAAGTCCAGCTGGAGACCTGTCACAAGTGGTGTCCCCCAGGGGTTGGTACTGGGGCCCATCCTGTTTAATACCTTCATTGACGACTTAGATGAAGGGATTGAGTGTACCCTGAGTAAGTTTGCAGACGACACCAAGTTGGGAGATGGTGTCGATCTGCCTGAGGGCAGGGAGGCCCTGCAGAGGGATCTAGATAAACTGGATCGCTGGGCCGAGGTGAATGGGATGAGGTTTAACAAGGCCAAGTGTCGGGTCCTGCACTTTGGCCACAACAACCCCATGCAGCGTTACAGGCTTGGGGATGAGTGGTTGGATGACTGTGAAGAGGAAAGGGGCTTGGGGGTGTTGGTTGATGCTCGGCTGAACATGAGCTGACAGTGTGCCCAGGTGGCCAAGAGGGCCAATGGCATCCTGGCCTGCATCAGAAATGGTGTGGCCAGCAGGAGCAGGGAGGTGATCATCCCCCTCTACTCAGCACTGCTGAGGCCGCACCTCGAGTACTGTGTTCAGTTTTGGGCCCCTCACTACAAGAAAGACATTGAGGCCCTGGAACGTGTCCAGAGAAGGGCAACAAAACTGGTGAGGGGTCTGGAGCACAAGTCTTATGAGGAGCGGCTGAGGGAGCTGGGAATGTTCAGCCTGGAGAAGAGGAGGCTCAGGGGAGACCTCATTGCACTCTACAACTTCCTGAAGGGAGGTTGTGGTGCAAAAGGGTCTGGCCTCTTCTCCCAGGCAAATAGTAGGACCCGAGGAAACGGCCAGAGGAAGTTATACCAGAGGAGGTTTAGGTTGGATATTAGGAGAAACTTTTTCTCTCAAAGGGTGGTCAGGCACTGGAATGGCTGCCCAGGGAGGTGGTGGAGTCGCCATCCCTGGTGGTGTTCAAGAGGTGCCTGGATGAGGAGCTACGAGATACGGTTTAGTGCTTGTGGTACTGATAGGAATGGGAGGGTGGTTGGACTAGATGATCTTGCAGGTTGTTTCCAACCTTGTGATTCTGTGATTTTTTTTTTTTCTGTGAACTGGGGCTGTTCAGTCAGGGGAAAAGGAGGTTGAGGGGAGACCTTACTGATCTCTTCCAGTATCTGAAAGGTGCTTACAGCGAGAGCAGGGCTCGTCTCTCCTCACTGGTGGCAGGTGACAGAACAAGGGGAAGTGGACTTAACTTGCACCAGGGTAAGTTTGGTTTGGGTATCAGGAGAAACTTCTTTACAGAAAGGGTTGTTAAGCACTGGAATAGGCTCCCCAGGCAGGTGGTTGAGTCACCATCCCTGGATATGTTTAAAAACCATCTGGATGTGGTGCTCAGGAACCATGATTTAGCGGAGGGTTGTTAGGGCAGTATGGTTAGGTCGTGATTGGACTTGATGATCTTTAAGGTCTTTTCCAATCTGGGTGATTCTGATTCTGTGAAAGGATGGAACCAGGCTTTTTTCAGTGGCTGTGCCAGGCCAACAAGCAGTGGGTGGAACCTGGAACACAGGCAGGTCAGTCTGAGCACTTGCATATGCTGCCCAGAGGCTCTGAGGTCCCCTTGGAGATCTTGAAAGCCACCTGGATATAGAGTAAATAGGATATTAAATATCTTAACATTCTCTTTGCATTGTGTAGTCTAACTCGGGCTCTGACTTCCTTTCCCAGTCTCTGTTCTGTAGTATGACTTAAAGGAAAGAACTAATCGTTAATTTGACCAGATTTCCCCTTGTGTGTTCAATATTAATCCAACATTAAATGCAAACCTAAGTTCCTGCAGTGGTGAGGAATGTTCTTTGCAGAGGAACTCATTTCTCACCTGAAATGCAGTGTTCAACAACAGCTCTCCATTCTGTGGTACCTCAAGAGCAATCCACATTTTCTGAAGCTGAATGTAAAGGTTTTCTCATTCAGAAAACTGAGTTTTAATTCTGGCCTAACAAGAGAAAAATTAACTTCACTTGCAGCCATTTGCACCTATAGTTACCATGATGGAGCTCAGGTCACATGCCTGCTCAGATTTCCAGCAGCCTTTCCAGACTGATGTGAGATGTGCATCCCTGTGCTGGGAGCACCCACTCTGCTCAGACTCCTTCAGCAGCAAACCAAGCAGAACGAGAATCCCACTGCCAAGTGAAATTTGAGATGATGACACACCGTCAAGTTTTTCTATAGCAGAAAGGATTCCATTTTCTTATATACATAGACTTACCGATAATGTTGGTAAATAATGCAATGCTATTTAGTTGCAGTACATGATGAGTACATCCACCACACTTTCATGGTAAGTTCTGAACTAATCTAAGACAGACGTGATCAAAACTCCTGACTTCACAAGAACCCTTCCTTCAGGTAGGCTTCGTTCCCTGAACCTGCCTTCCCTGCACAGAACTAAGAACTTGTGCTTCTGAGATGGTCTGTGGGGAATTGTTTTGGGTTATGAGCCACCCTAAGTAAGCGTTTGCATAACTTACAGTAAGTAACTTTCCACAGTCAAAACTATGACTGTTCCTTACTTATCTATTTCACTTTGTCCTGTTTCCCGGTGGTATCTTAGGCTCTATTAGTTTTGCTTTTGTATTAACACAAGCTCTGTGTGTCCTGCAGGGCACTGCATTAGCCTTGCTTACTTAACAGGACTCCCAGAGAACCTACAAGTTAACAGCCAAGCTAGGAAGCAAGCAAGATAAAGTCACTGGGTCACAACATGAGTCTATAATGAGGAGTATTTCAGCAGTTTCACCTGATGGCCAACTCAGCTCTACCACACTCCCTCATTCCCTCTCCCCAAAGGAACACAGGGAGAAAATAGAAATAGAAGAAGGTTTAAGGGCTGTGATAATAACAGGATAGCTTACCATCATGGGCAAAACAGACTGACCAGGGGGAGATCACTGTACTTAACTGCCTTTTACTAATAGGTGAGGGCAAAGAGAAACTAAAAGTCAAATAAACACCCTTTCCTTACCCTCCTCCTTCCCTCCCATAGGGAGGGATAGTGGCATAGGGGAATGAGGAATGGGGGCTGCAGTCTGTCCTTAATGCTTCACCTCTGCCTTTTTTCCATGACCTTGTAACACTCAGCCCATAACCACCAATGAGAAAGGAACCCTGGCAAACAGATGTCTTCACTTACTAAAATGAATCAATATGAACTCTTATCAAACAACACCTTAAACTGGCAAAAAAAAATGCACTACATAATTTTAAGCAAGAGCTTTATTTTAGCTTGTATGCTTGTTTGTATTAAAAACAGTTACTTCAAAATCAAATTCACATCAAATTCAGCATATAAACGAAACTGAAGTTATCAGTCAAGACCCATTTCTGAAAGGAAACGGTCTGAATTGCGGTTTAACAATCTTGTGTGGGAAACAGATATAACTGGGATGGCAGTAGCAACTCAGAGCTTAAGGGCTGAGGAGTTAAACTGTCCCCAGCTTCAGTCCATTTTAAAACACCAGCTGCAGGCCGGAACAGTTGAATGACTGCTATTCCTACTAATCTGGTAAGCAATCATTAAAGAAAAAAAAGATAAAAAAAGCCCAGTTTAATCTGCTGCTTCACACAAGTGAATGCTCTTCAGTATTGTTACAGGCACTGCTATTTGTTGCAGAAATCAGAATACTTGTCCTAACACGTGTTCCTTACAAGACCAAAATACAGATTTTTCAGAAGACACTCACAGTCAAGCTCAGCAAGCTACATTATATACACTTTACATGTACAATTGTCATTAAAAATGCATGTGTGCAAAACAGAGGGTTTTTAATTAATAACAAAAACCCCATCACATGCTAGATTTCAATTACATCAGTATTTAAAAAGAACTGAACACAATTAACCAATTGCAACATTTTCATTTGTTAGTAATCTTCCTGCAAGCAACTGCAGACATACTTGCAATTCCCTCCCTGCTACATTTGACTCTAATAAGCCTTGGGGAGAAGTTGTGCTATGAACCTCACATAGGAAGTATGTGAAAAGTTAACCCTTGTGAAGATGGAAGTAAATGCTAGCTCTAGTTAGTTAATGCAAGGTTATTTCAGTAAAATATAAAATTACTCTACTTATGAAGCAAAATACTTCAGTGGCATCCGATTTACAGCCAGTTAGACAAAGAAAACAACTAATGCCTAGAACACATACATTAGTTAGAAATTCAAATATATACAAAAATATATTAGAACGTGGCTGAGTTGAACCACAGGCTCATGTAAAAAAAGTTGGTTTAAATAGCAGTAGCAAAAAAATAGCTATTATCTCTATCTGCAACAGTACAAAAGGCAAAACCTACATATGAGGTAGCAATGCCAAATTGAAAAAAAAAAACACAAAAAACCCACTTTGGACAGAGGAGCACTTACCACATTTTCATAGCATATCTGTCAATACAAATATTTAAATGAACACTTCAATTGTTTTGAGAATTCATACATTAATTTACAAAAACCTTTATTAAATGAACATTTTTAAAAAATTACTGGAAATGGATTTAGTTAAAAATTTCTCCTTGTTCCTAAAAAAGCGCGTTTTCAAATCCAAACACTGTACAGCAAAAAACCTGGAAGCTTTATTATACACACTTGGGAAACGCTATGGTACATTAAGACATATTTTACAAAGATCAGAATAAGCCAACTGTGGTCATTTTATTCTTTTCTGTCAAATATGCACACGTTGCACCTTTTGCTACTCCTGGGCTCACTGTTAAGATGCCAGATTAGAATTCACCGCTCCCACAGCTCTGCCTTTGTATCATCTACCTTCAGGGGTCTGAGCCCCTGCAGGGGGGCTGGGGCATTGCCAAAGCAGCTCTAGCCTCAGAGAGGTAGGATGGAGGGGATATTTGCACCCTCCTTCCCTTCCATCCATCCTCTGGCAGGACAGGTCAGCAGGGGCCATTCAGAGCCCTCCTGACCAAAAATCCCACTGCCCCGGGCCAGGGGCCACAGGGCGACACACAGAGAGCGTGGGCCCTTCTGGGAGCTGAATCCTCCGCTCACAGCTCCGCTGCCCAGAGCCTCTGCTCTCTGCACTCAGCTCAGTCAGACATCTGAAGTTAGATGGTACAAGTAACACCAAAAAAATTCACTGGATGGAACTCCTGTGTTTATTGTATTAAGAAAATAATATACTTTACATCACAGTGCTTAATTAATGCAATAAAAAAAAATGTAAACTCAGAATTCTAGATAAAATTTAGCTTGAAAAATTAGGGCTCCAAGACTTTTTAAAATTCACAATTTTTTTTTCTTAAATTGAGGTCATAGAAAGTCAGTTCACATAACTCATAAGCATTTAGGATTACTTGCAAATACTTGTTGAAAAGCACTCCATCGTTTGGTCACATTTAATGTTTAAAGCCTAGATAACAAATCGACCAAGTGCAAAGGTGAGAGGTATATTTTAATTTGCAGATCAGGTATGTGGAGTGCTCTAGTAGATGTAAGGAAATATGCGGTATGGTACACGCTGACAATACCTTTCCCATGCCAAACCATATTTTTTCTTACAATGATGTTCGTCACGAGCTTCTCGATGAACAAGCAAGCAGATGAAATAAATCACGTAGAAATACGGCAAAATGTGATTAAAACCTGTAAAATGAAGTGTGGAAAGTCAATTCTAATGCATGAACAATTCTGAAAATTTTCGCTGTTAACAACATGCGGTGACGTGAATTTAAGAGACTGAAGCACCTTGTGCTCATAATAAAGCATCAAATATTCAACAGGACAGCACGCATATAACCGACATGTTTCTGTGTAAATGGGGACTCCCCAGATAAGCTTCACATTCAGTCTCAAACCCACTAACTTCACTCTGTGTATACAAGCCTGGCACACATTGAAGCTCTTTGGCTACCAAAACCACAACAGTATTTAAGTCTCCAGAGCTCTGAGCTGCCCCACAAACTACACAGGGATTTCTGTTTTGGGTGTGGATGGTCACTGCCTCTGCTCAGAGTGCACCGCTTACCTGATCCCCTCCCGCTCCCACCATGCGGCTACCAAGAGAGGATTCAAGTTCCTCATTTTTATGCAGCAATCCTCTTCCAAGATACTGCCTACAAGTGTTTTTGCTAACCAGTATTGTCTACTTTCAATTTAAAATCCCGACTCCCGACACGTACACTTCAACAACTGGTCTCTGCTGATACTTAGGGCCTTAACTGCTTGGTCAAAGACCCACTCTGCCACAATTCCCTATGGCCCACGGCCTGCAGAAGCCAAACTGTGCCATGGGGTTGAGTAGCTCTGCCTCAGAACATCTGCCATGCTCACTAGTGTGCCTGTATTGAAAGGAAACTCCTCCAGGCAAGAGAGGAGCCGAAAGCCATTTTTCTAACTTGCATGAGTTTTCCATCTTTATAGGAACAGCTTTAAAAACATTACAGCTCTGGTAGTAGCCTCAAAATGAAAAAGTAAGGAAGAACTTGTTAGCAAACAAGTCCCGTTATTACTAAATGATAAACTATTAGAAATAAATATCAAGTTTATATTCAGACACAAAGGATCAGATTTAAGGGAAAACAGGTGTCACATCAACCTTGCAACTCAGAAATTTGCCATTAATTTAATTAAACCTTTTATCACCCCACTGACCACTTTACATTTCACGTTCAGTCAGATGCCCAAATGTACATGTTCCATTTTAGATAGAATCTCCTTTCGGTTTAGGAACTTACCACAGGGTAGAGACCACGCCAGTGCCATGATGATATCACCAAGGTAATTGGGGTGACGAACAAACCCCCACCAACCTGTGACAAGAAGCCCTTTTCCAGTTGCAGTGGGTATCACTTTCAGATCTGTGAACGGAGCATTGCAGTCAATACAACAACAGAAATGTGCATGTCACGAGTCCAAAGAGACACTGTACAGTGATTGAATGAATTAAAAAGAATGCACTTACAGGACAACTTGGGATCTGCTGGATTCCTTCGGAAATTATTTTTCTGAGAATTCGCACTACGGAATATGTAATACCCAATACCTGGAAAGAAACAGTATCTATTTTTATTTTCAGTATTTTCTACTGCTTTGTGTCCTTCAACAAAAGCTCTCACATGCTCCTTGTCACTCTTACTGCACTGAAATCAATTCTGTTTCTGAGGAAGTGACACTCTCCAGTTCCCAAAGCTCTAACAAGCTAGAGATGCTACTAGAGAACTGACACATCTGCTCTTGCATGTTAATGACTACATTTTAAGACTTTGGAGAAGCTGCACTTTCACATCTAACTTTCCATTTATAACTGACTTATATGTATGTATTTATGTAGCACTGAGTTTGAAATCCAAGTGAAGTGATGTGGCACAGCTGACAGCTCTGCTAGCAGCCCAGTACTTTAAGGTGCCTATTCTATTGACCCAGTGCATATTTCATGAACTGACTGACTCACTGCAAGTACACAACATTAAATGAACCAGACAATGATCTGAAGAGACTGATAGTAACAGTAACATTTACTGTAACTTACAGTTCAGAATAGTAATTGCAGCTGCGACGGGCCAAGAAATTGCAATAGGGTGTCCAACTAAATAGAAGGCCTGCAGACTGTAGACAAATGGAACCCACACCAAATCTCCAAATGCCAGCATGAATCCAAACCCATCATGGATAATATCCATTGTGGTCAAAACAGCTTCCTAGAAATGAGGAAGGAATTAAGAATTTGCAAAGCTTCGTTAATTAAACAATTTAGTTAGAAATAGTTTCAGGTTAAGACAGGGCTGAAGGCTATCTTGTACCTCATTCCAAAGAGCATCCACCACATACAGAAGCTGAAAGCTGTTCACGAGTATCATTGACAGCGATGGCATACTTTGATTATGTATCTTCATCTCAGCCAAGAGCATTGCCAAGTTTATGACAACCTAATTAAGAATAAATTAATTATAATTTTTCCTTAAACAAGTTTTTTTTCCTATTATGCTAAAGAACATTTTAATAAGGATGGTTCTGAATGACATTTAAGATTTTTTAAAAGTCTTGTTTCATGAACAAGTTGAACTATATGAACTATATTTCCAAAGCTGTAGCATCAGCATATTCATACTCTCACAGGAGTTTTCATTCCTCACAAAGCAAACAAGCTACAATGTAGGAATTGTCCTAAGGTGAACAAAAAATTATCCTTAAAAATTTATCAACACAAAACTCTATTTTCTTCTTCTGATTTTAAATACTTTTTGTATCCTCAGCACCACTCACAGAAGAAAATGTAAAGTAGCTCAGCTTATTGACTCACCCAGCCAATTAATCCTGGACGTAACTCACAGAAGTACTTGAGGTCAAAATTGCCAATACGAGGGTTTAATTCGTGTCCAGTAAAGAAGTCATAAACAAGGTATCCTGCAAGATGAGACACATTCCTTGTCAGTACTATTATTCCTTTCATCCATCACTACATCCCCTGCAAGGCACTTGCTACTCCCTATTGAAGTTCTCTCATTATAAATGAAAAACCATTAAGCTTGGGGAAAGAAAAAATAAAGAAGAGTGAAAGAGAGTATGCAAAATATGCAAAATATGAAGCAAAACCTAAGTGGCTTGTATTTTAAGAGGTCCAAATATTTTAGTTATTACTAGAAGGACCAAGCACTGCACAAGTTACTGTAGTTTTATCTCGTTGACTTTGGTCCTTGTTTTCAGCCTTATCCAAAAGCTCTCATCATGGCTTTCATGAACATAATGATCTTACACTAATTCCACCTCTCCTCCTACTACTTTACTTTACTATTTTACTACTTCGCTTCACTCCAACATACTTAACGTTCTGTCTGTGAACTTCCTAAGTTAGTCTATGATCCTTTTCTAAGCACACTGTTTAATGTTTAGTGCTGATTTCTTCTCAATATCCACTGTCCTACAAAGACATATGCATATAGCTGACAATTTCCAGACTTGCAGGTTGATGACTGAATCAAAACTGCCTTTTAAAAACTCTAACCAGATACACAAGTGTGTAGTAAAAGAAACCTTTTCAAAGCTACCTTTGAAATGCTGGTTTTGCTTTGTTTTATTTTATCTGGTCTTTCTTTTCCTCTTAAGTTAACTGCCTTTATCTCAACACTTGAGTTTTCTTCCAATTTTCTCTCCCATCCTACTGGAGGAATACAACCCTGCTGGCTATGTGGCATTTAGCTGCCTACTGGGGTTTAACCTATGCAAGATAACCCAAAGAGAATGTTAAGCATTTTTACACTACCTGTGTGCAAACAAAAACTTGCTTCTGCTGTGTGCCACTCAACTTGCAACATTACTTTTACATTTGGAGAAAGTAACAGTCAAGATATTGTAACAACCTACCTTAAATCTAACCTAAATATAAACATGAAACTGTAGCAAACAGCCCTAAATAAATTATCCAAAATAATTATCACTCACCAGAATTTCCTCCTGGTGCCAGGTCTTCCTCAGGTGCCTTCAAGGACCGAATATACAAATAAATGCTCAATACCATAGAAAAAGCTGCAGCTGACACTGCAAACTGTATGAAGTGATCATACAAATAATGAAGTTCGAACTGAAAATACAGTAGGGTTCCAATAGCTGCAGCAGTCAAAACAAAAGCATAAAACCCTAAAGAATACAGAAGAAAAACATATTAGCTAAAACAGAAATATTATTCTTAGAACCTACCCCGTCCAGCTTACCCACACTTTCACTTCAAGGGAGGGAAGATTTAGCTTTGATATCAGGGGGAAGTTCTTTACCAAGAGAGTAGTGAGGTGCTGGAACAGGCTGCCCAGAGAGGTTATGGATGCCTCACATCCCTGGAGGTGTTCGAGGCCAGGTTGGATGGGGCGCTAGGCAGCTGGTCTAGTGTGGGATATGGGCAGGGAGGTTGGAGTTTGATGATCCTCAAGGTCCCTTCCAACCCAAGCCATTCTATGATCCTGTATTTCTATACTTCGTTCCATATCCCACGCTCTTGACTTCAAATTTCTGGGGCAGCACAGTGTACCTTAGGTATTCCATCTGTGTTCTGACATTTCTTTGCTCCTTTTCAAAAAAATTAAACAGCAGAATGCTCTGAGCAGTCCTTCACTTTTACAACATAGATTCCATTTCAAATCCTACTCTAACAATGGATAGTACCACTACTACTGGATAATGGCAGAAGGTCTCAGAAGTCCTCTGTGGGACAGCTCAGGGAACATACTTTCTACTACTGGTATATATTTATCCTCATATTAACTTATGCCTTGATACAGCTATCAGTAATTAAAGCATTAAAATAATTGTCAAGTCAAAATCTGAGCACAAAAGTTTTGTACTTTGAGAATACAAAACCACGGGCAGTAGAGTGATGCACAAAAAAAAAAAAAAGGAGACAGCTGCATACAGATATTCCACATGTGCTTTCTCTGAGCACTTTTACAGAACTGCAGACTTGGTGAAGATGGCAGGGATTTCTAGAGGACAACTTGTGCAGCCCACCTGCTCAGCACAGCACCAAGATCAGGTTGCCCAGGACCACAGCCAGACAGATAACTTTTGAACATCTCAAGATGAAAATTCCTCCACCTCTCTGGCAACTACTGTCAGAGCTTAGTCATTCTCACAGTTAAGAGGTGTTTCCTAACGTTCAAACAAAATGTCCCGTCTCTCAGTGCCCTCTGTGTGTTGCCCTGTCACTTGTCAGTATTCTTTTCTCAAAGAGGTTTTCGAAGTTGCTTTGTGAATTGGCTTTTGAAGAAGCAAGAAAACGGCTTTCTGGAACCATCCAAACCACATGGCTTCTTTCCTTCCTTTACCAAAAACTGAAAAATAAATGCAGGACTATGCCACTACTAAAGATGCAAGTCAAAGAACAGAAGTTTTCAGGCAGCATAAATATGATCCACTGCTTCTGCAGATACCTAGTCTAACCACAGAGCTCTTCCTTCTTCATTTATTATCTTTAATTTGTGGTTCTGAGTACCACAAATGTGGTAGGTGTGCTGAACTTCTGAATGAGCAATTGCAACACACTTACCATTGATCCGGTACTGCAGCTTCCTTCCATTTGAAAGAGGCAGGCCTTCCACCACCTAGGGAGGAGAAAGTACTACAGTTGCAATGAAATACAATCTAAGAGCACTGGAAGGGAAGAAAACTCTGGGATGTCTCCAGCACAAAGACATTCAACCAAGTTAACTAGCTGGACACACTGAAATCTGAAGACCATACTTGGTTCTCAAAAGCACATCTTGGATATCAAAAGGAAAAGGGTAACAGTTTAAAATAAAAAAACAATTTCTCCTAACCAGCATTAAGGAAACAGAAGCTTCGCTAATGTTAAAAGTGTAAGAATAGAACAGTTTGATTGGCTAAATTTATTATTCTTTCAGCACCTGGCAGTATCCTTCAAGTCACAAAAAGAGAATAATAGGCCATTTTACCTGATCAGTACAGATAGAATAAAGAGCAGCAACTCCCCAAAAATGAAAGTTGCATTGGAAAGCAAGGAACATTTTTTCTACTGTTATCAGTAGAACACTGGGTATCAAGGAGTCTTCAGGTTTAGAAGTCAGATATCTGAAATTCTTCTAGATTTCTATTAAGCAGATGCTATCCATACTTTGATTTGAACTCCTATACTCTGTTTTCTGCCTTTTCCACTGTAGGTCTATGAAATGCACTGCCATTAAATTCTTAACAAATTCTGTTATTTTAAGCTCACAACAATCAGCAATAACCAAAGGAATTAATCTACTTTCATCATCACGGCACTGAAAACATAGCCCACCTTTCAGTCTGACCCACAAATTAATGATCCACAAAGACCCAATTGCTACTAACCAGCTTACCTTTCCTATTGGCAATAAGTAAAACAGAGCTTGAAAGAAAAACCACAGAAGAAAGACGCCAAACACTTTAGTTTCCCAAAGACTTTCGAGTGTTGGGAGAGGAGGAGGGAAGTTCATAAGGCTGGGGTCATCCTGTTTGCACATTAACAGTAAGTACAACACAGTAGCAGGCAGGAGAAATATCAGCACGAAGGTCCCTGTAAAAAGACATGACGTGATATTAGAAGACAAACATGGAAAATAAAACACTCATTTCATTACCAACAACAAATCTGGATCAGTAGGAAGTAAGAGATCATTATCTATCCCTGCAGCAAAACAGCAGCAGTCTCACAGTCACATCATAGGATACAGAGACATCTCACTCCTACAGAGGGGAATGAAGCAAGCTGAAGGACTGAATCAAACACATCCCTTTAAAACTGCCCAAAAAACTGTATAAAGAATACTTCAGTTTTGAGTTGGAAGCACCTAGCTCTTGAAAACATAAGTTTTGCTAGTTATTTCCAACTAAAATTTAAGCAACATTTAAATCCCACTGTGCAAGACCTCCACTGCATTTCAGAGGAGAACCATAGGCAATTTTTCTTTGACTTCTGCCAGCACCATCACAGGCTACTCTAAGTACCAACATGGTTCTGGAGTCTGCAAGTAGGATCCACAAACAGGAAGAATATTCACACATACCAAATCTTCCACCAAATTCAAGCTCTTTTGTTTTTGATGATGGTTTCTCCATAGTTTTTATCGTCTCAAAAATCTTCTTCTCTGCATAGATCTCTTCTTTTTTCTTTTCTTCTCTTCTTGAACGCAAGCTGTACTGATCGAGCACTCGCTCCATTTCCACATCTGGTTTCAATTTTTGCTGCTAAAAAAAAAAAAAAAAAAAATTATAAAAAAAAAAAAAAAGAACAAAATCCTAGCAATTTTAATTTATTTTGGAATTAGTCATATTCAAAAATAAAAATGAACAATAATATGTGTTCTACTTCTACACAGCTCTTAAACTTATACATTTCAATGAAGGCTCTCCAAAAACCAGTAGAACACAAGTAACAAGTGGAGGTCTGATGAGAAAACAAGCGAGAAAAATCCACGTCATGCAACTCTCATCAGTTCTCTATCTTCCAACAACTTCCTCTCCCCTGAACTCAAGTCAGCTGAACAGTAAATGATGCATTCTAATTTCTCCTTGATTCCTGTGTTGCCTGTTCCTACTGATTTCTGAGAAAGCTAAGGTAGAACACAACACAAAACTAAGACATACAACAATATTTTCTGTTGTCATACCTCCAAGAGTTTGCTGGATGTGTCATTTCTTTCCGTACTGTCAGGTTCACCATTGTACCTTCTGGTGTTGTTCTCACTTGGTTTCTGGTTAAAAGAGACATAGTTTTATCTTTCTGAGAATACTGCCTCCGTTCAGCGTGAGTATATAATGAATAACTAAAAACACTAACTGATCTATTCCTACTGCATCTGTTCTGACCTTCTCTGCATGAAAACAAGTGCGTTCAAAACCCTAAGTATGTTTCTGCTCAAAAAGAAGGGTGGAAAACCTATTCAAAATGGGGAAAAAACCCTTTTTTCTTAAATTTAACAGTGAAATTAAGAGGTAACATGGAAACTATTCTGTTTTTAACTCATCAGTAGGAAGTGCCAAGTACAAAGTACACACATATTTAGTAATTCTACTTGTGAAAGCTGAGGAAATTTCAGTGTTCTATATATGACACTCTCTGCAGGACTGTGAAAGTTTGGTTTTCTAAGAAATAAATTCTCTTCAAAAAAAAGCAATCAAAAAAACCCCACACCCAACAGATGGATCCCACTCCTCATCTAACAGCCAGGAGAACAGCATAAAAAAATACATTAACCTTTGTGTCCAAAGTTAAGTGCAACTGCAGGCTACAAACTACTTAAAATGAGCATATGGTCCCCAGGCTATTGGTCATGCAGCTAAAAGCAGTTCACTGCAAAACAGAAACCACAGTACTTTCACAGTGTCAAAGGATGCTTTCAGTAGAAGTAATTTACTAAACTAAGCCCAAGTATTTAATCTGAGAACTTCACAGCATCGCCACATTCAAACAGAACACAAAATACATTTCAATAATCTCCTCTCAACCTGGCAAGCCACAAAGCCTATTTCCTAAGGAGTAAGGCATTTCTGTGATGCCTTTCTTGCAGCTAATTACGCTGCTCATGGAATACGAAGTACACCTGGCTCTTCCAATAACAATCCCAGTATGCATTAAAAAAAAACAACAAAAAGATGCAACCAAGAACAAGCAAAGCAATACCGGTAGAGCTAAAGTGGTTTCCTGAATTATTTTCTTTTTGTCATCTTTATGCTCTCTGCTGTGGGAAGAGGAGCGACGTCTGCCTTTTGCTGGCCGACCAGGAGATCTGGATCGAGACCTGCTTCTACTTCTTCTGGAAGGAGAACTCGAAGAAGACTGGCTTTTCCTTTGCTTGAATGACGATTGTGACTAACAGACAGAGGAGAAAAACAACAATATCTTACTTTCAACATCCAAAACAGCTTTAGAAAATTTGTGGTTTTTTGGGACAATGTCTCCGGCACACAGTTTCACACAACTGCCTCCTATTTCTTTACTGATGCTGTACGAAATTGGTTAACAAACACCCAAATAATCCTGCCCCAAGTTCAACTGAAGACAATTCCTGCCAAAGCTACAGAAATCAGGAAGCTACCAATGTGAGCACCGAGCTCATAAGCCTAACATCCTCTTAAGCATAAGGCTTAAAAGAAAGCCTACCATTTCATTTAGTTGGCTTTATCTGTACATCTGGCATGTCAAGGTGCAATGAGGCAGTATATCTCATATCAACATTAAAAAAAAAAAAAAAGAGCTAAATTGTTAAATTAGATGGCATCACAAAACTTCCCTGGAAGCATACGCATTAATTTCTCTGTGCAGTCTGCAATCCTAACCTTCCCCTTCAAAATTTACACAACGCAACTTTTATAAGCTGACCTGTGAGCACAAAGTAAACAAGGGAGACAGAAAGCAATGAAATGTCTGTAGTTCAAGGTAGAAACATTTTGTCCCAAAAGAAAAAGCCAGTCATGTACATCGCTCAAAAAGGTAAAACATAGTTCCTATTAATTAATACCAAGCCTCCAATTACCAGCTTTATACGCTACTCAAAACCAATTGTTTTTTATAAACAATCAGAGCTTCTGAAAGACAGCACTTCTTTTCCCCCTAATCATATCACTGCTTTTTCAACCTAAAGAACACAATGGGGCCTCTTTATAAATACAGTCAGCATGCTGAATATCTTATGAGATGTCACACAGGAAAAAGCTATCATTTAGCACCAACCTTTGAAGACAGCTAATGATACCCATTTGTAAGATGCATTCTTACCCTTGATTTTCTGTTAGAAATACTGCTATTCACACCGAGGCATACTCACCCTTATATCACTTTCCTTCAAAGCAAGTTCGGTACCATCTTTGTACTTCACAGTATAAAGATGAGAAGCATCATCATAACTAGTCACTTGCACTTCATAGTACAGGACACTTCCTGGCCAACGACCCATCACCACCTCACCATCAGCATACTTCCGGCTTGGCATTTTCCAAAACAATACCTAGAAAATAAATTAAATGTCACAGTTAAACATGAGGCTTAGATCCTGGAATTTTACCCTAGTCAGCAACAGAAGATTTACTGGATATTTGTAGAATATGCTTTAAGTGACCACCACCCTTGACCCAGGACACTGAGGCACCGAGGAAGTCACAACTGCAACTTAACGTCATGCTTTTAAATGTAAAGCCCTGCACAGCACTTTGACAAGAGCCAGATATTAAGCCACTGCCATCTGAAAACAGGTAACCATAGAAAAAGATATTCACACCACCTCAAGTTTTGATTCAGATCTCAATATACAGAGTGAGGGTATTTTAAAAGTCTGTGGTAAAATGCACATAAACTTACATGCACATACACTGGTATGATGAACATTGGAACTTGGAATAGGAAAAATCAGCAAGTTTTGTTTCAAAGCATTTTAACTTGTTTGCTGTAAATGTGAAGCCACACAAAAGGAGACTGAAACAAATATTTAACTAGCTATTTACACATTACACATTAACTAACTTGCAGCAAAAAATGAGGGTCTTCGGCAAAAAGAGAAAAACTACTGTTAATATGCATTCAGACCGCCTAGCACAGTAAGGGACAGAGCCAAACCAGGCTGCCCCATCAGCTTTAACTGGCATTTCCTAAGGCTGCTGCTGCTACATTTTACATGTGTAGTTCTCCAAGACAGAAGGAAGAAAACAAAAACCTCAACAAAATTGCCCTGAGTGGATATTATTGCTAGTGTTACTTCCTGCTTCACAACAGAAGGACCTGGCCATTACCTTTGCTGTAAAACATTTGAAGGAGTGAAAAGACTAAGCTTAATCGTTTAATTTCACTGACACTTGCTAATTAGGAAAATGACCACCTACACAATCTAAAGAGTTCTCCACTATGCCTTTAGGCACACGCTCTTCCAGCTCATCCATCTTTTACCTACGTTTTCCTGTCCCAGTTTCTTGTTACTTTCTTATTCCTTATGAATTTCAACTCATTCAAGTCTTTGCCCTCCTAGTTTAACCCCCCTCAAATCCACACTCCGTGTGTGATTTCATGAAACACCACATCCATATTTTCATCCTAAATTCTTCACTCTGTCCTTGCCCCCCTTTAATTCCCTAGGGGTATTCTACCTGTTCTGCCCTTCCTCACTGAACTACTTCCAGTTCCTCCTCACCACCTTTGGGCTCCAGGTCCGATTCCAGTGCCACATCATCTCCTTGTTTGGTTTGTTCACCTTGAAGTCAGCTCGATCAGAGATCCATGCCAACTGCTGCTTGTCCCCTAGACTCTCTCAGCTCCAGCTTCCTCCTCCTCTTCCAAACACAAAGCTCTAGACCTGTATACCAAGCCCAGCCACAGCTTTGACCAGATGTCCTAACCTGACCTATGCCTTCTTTGCTTCTGTAGCTCCTATTGTTTCTGTAGCAGCCTATTGTTTCTTCTTTCCATCATGAACACCTCAGGAATCATCTGTAAACTCAGGAGTCCGACCAGGACTCAGCTATACCAGATGCTAGAGCAAAGCTATAAAGAATGGAACCCTTGGTGTTTAACTCCTTTTTAAAAAAGACAAACACATTTTCACTGTGTTTTGACCAAGGACATGCAATTACTCTTCAACATAGGATGACCTTCACCTCCTCCAGCCTTGCTCTCCAATGGTGCAGAAGCTACAAAACGTGGCTGAAGGAGATAAAACTGACGAAGTGTTACGTTATTCAGCCTGAGGTAGATGTCAGTGATATGGTCTAATAGGCACATAAAAATACTATTTTGTGATTTGAAAGCACTTAAGAGTATTAGTAATGGGAAGATCTTGTTTTTCCATTTTTCCTTTAATAATAAAACTTCACAACAAGTCTTAAACACTGAACAAAATGTGTTACAAGTTATCCTGACAAAAAACGACCACCTTCTTCTATGCTGGTGTACCACAGTGAGGGAGATTTGCAATCCTCATTCCATATATCCCACTTCAAAAAACCTACACATTTTAAAGGCAGCCTTCATCTGTTCTGGTAGCAGAAATCACTGGCAGCATAAAAAAAAACACAACAGATGACTTAAAAATAATACTACAAAATAAATAAATACATTCATAAAAATGAAAGTCAGGCATCTTAGAAGTTACGTCTTTAATTATCATTCCTTCAAGCTCAACACACATTCCTGCTAATTTTCAGCGTGGGTATCAGTCTACCATTCATTGCAGTCCTATGCAAACTGTTTAACTCAAAAAGGCTTCAAAATACATCTTCGTTTTACCTCAAAGTGCAATTATTTCATACAAGGAACGCTGCACTGTACAGACACACAGGTGCAAGTATCCTCAGTTACTCCTGATATGAAATTTGTGGTATTCTGGAGTTACGTATTTCTTTAAGGAACTTGAGATTTAAGGAAATGTCTGAAAAGGATCCTGTCTCCTATGCCAAGCTGGAGACAGTTCACGAAGAACTCCCATGAATCTTCACAGAATCACAGAACGGCCAGGGTTAGAAGGGACTCACGGATCATGAATCTCCAACCCCCCTGCCACATGCAGGGCCACCAAACTCCCCATTTAATACTAGACCAGGCTGCCCAGGGCCCCATCCAACCTGGCCTTGAACACCTCCAGGGACGGGGCATCCACAGCCTCTCTGGGCAGCCTGTTCCATCACCTCACCACTCTCTCTGTAAAGAACTGAATCTTAAGGTTGTTGAGAGGAAAGCACTGACTCAACTGCAAACTAAGCAATCAGAAAAATGCTGCAGACAAAGCCATCACAGAAACACCTCACATCCCCTTTGGAACAGAGCCACAAGAGCCACTGAGTCTAACTCCGGGCTCCACACAGCACCACCCAAACCCTAAGTCTGAGAGTACTGCTCCTCGAACTCACTCCGGGACAGTGCCCACCGCCCAGGGCAGCCATACCATTTCTGCTCCTCCTTAGTGACGCTCTCACTAGCTATAAAGAAAGACATCGTACTCAAAAATAATAAACGAGAAAGTGCGTACTAAGTGCTAAGACAAAAGCAAAACCACAAAGGTAACGAATCGCTTCCCTTCAGGCAACGTTTCAGCGGAAAGAGCGAGACCTCACGGCGGGCTGTTGACAGGAAGGGAGGCGCTGGAGGGGCGGGCGGGTCGCACGCTCCGCCCTCCCACTCTCCGGGCCCGGGCCTGGCGCGGGGCCCCCGCCGCAGGAGAAGGGAGGGGCCGCGGCGGGCCCGGCGGAGGCGGGCCGCACCTCCAAGGCGGCTCAGCCCCGGGGCAGCCGGGCGTTCCGGCGGTCCGAACGAAGCGAGGAGCGCAGGCCCCGGGCCCCGATCGCGCGCGACCGCCCGCCCCCCCGCTGCCCTCCTTAGTAGGGCCTTCGCGAGGCCGCGGCCCGCCGGCGGCGATTGGCCGGAGCGCTCCTCGCCGGGCAGGCCGCGGAGGGGGTGTGTCCCGCTCGGCGCCGGCCCCGGGGCCGCCGATCCCTTACCTGGCGCCCGCCCCCACCGGGCCTGGCAGGAGACGCCTCCGCGGTGCGGCGGGTCCCGGCCCTCAGCTCGGTGCTCCTCAGCCGCGGGAACGACCGCCCTGAGCGACGGTTAGGGCCGCGCGACGGTCCGGCCTCCCGGGCCCGCCCCTTCCCGGCGCTGATTGGCCGAGAGGGGCCGTTTGAATCGCTGCCGGCCCCGCGCCATTGGCTGCCGGGCGATGGCGCGGTCCTCGCGCCCGGCGCCGTGCCGCTGACGGGAAGCCCGCCCCCTTACGGCAGCCGATAACGGGCAGGAAGAGCGGGGGATTCGGGGCCGCGGCCGCCATGGCTGCGCGGGGCGCTCCTCGGCCCGCCTCCTGCGCGCGGAGCCCGCGGCCGTCCGTAAACGAGGAGGACCTGTGCGGGGGGAGCGCCCCACCGAGGCGGGGATAGTGGGAGTTTAGCTGTGAAATAACCGCCCCGTACCCAGCGCTGGGATCTCGGGAAAGCAGCCCGGCCTTAATGATGAACTGCCTGCGCGTTTATTTCCGTACCGACTATAAAGGCCCTCCATGGTGTCTGTGTTGTGACGCAGGCTGACAAGACCTGCAAAAAAAAAAAAAGGCATCTAAACGAGGTTAAAGTCTCAGTAAAAGCAGAGCCGGGTTGAAGCACAGAGCGCAATAAGTGCAGTCCAAATGAATTTGTCCTGCAGCTGTGCGAAGGCATCAGCTTCTATCAGGCAGATATTTAACAGTTTGCTACAGGAAAGAACGCAACTGAAGCTTCATTTCTGGCTGCAAATAATGAATGGTTTTGGCTCCAGCTAACTTTCTGTTGGTTTATTATTGCACAGTTTACAATTAGAATGTTAAAAACTGTTTTCAGTACGCATCTTAGTTAGAGCAGCTAACACTTGAAACAAGTCTGCTTTATTCTGTTGGCAGAGACCTGCAATTAATATGCTTAAATATGAAGGTTTTCAGCAGAGATCTCATTTGGAGAACAACCATTCTCTCTGAGTAGTGGTCTTCTTTTGGAATTGTTTATTGAGCCTGGATGAGAGAGCTCTTGGGCCGTTAAGAACTGTTTATTATCAACAGGTTTGCTGGCAGGGTTGAAATATGGATATATGGATTGAACCATCTCAGATCAGCTGTTAAATAGAACAAATATGAAACCAGTTGGACCATCATCATCAAAATACCACCTCTGCACTGCTCCAAGACAAGTTTTCCATGCCTCTACAAAGAACTCAGAAGCAGAGAAATTTGCCCATCTACACAAAGTGTCTTGATCTCACAACATAAAACAGACTAAAGGGTTCTCCAGCTTTTCATCTTAACAATAAACATGAAGCACTGCAGTATCACATCTACCTGAAAACACTAAGACAACTCCGTTCCCTTCAGATTTTATTCCTTCAAAATTCCAACCTTTTAATTTCACTAAGAGACATAGGAGGGATCTGAGAGGTTGTTGCTGGAGAATGTCCCATGGAGGGTATTTGCCGCCTTTTCTTCTCCTGAGTGTCATCCCTAAAACGCTCCACACCTGGAGGTGGGAAGAGGAATGAGGAGTCTGAGATTATTTGCAGGAGTGAAATCTAAATTAACTGTGACTATCAACTATGAGGGCCTCCATATTCTGTGCTTACTCACATGATTTTACTTATGTACGTAGTCCTGGGAAGTTGAGATACACGAGCTGGTTTTGGTCAAACAGGGGAGACCTCTGTCCAGATAATGATTCTAAGACTGAAATTTAGTGTCTCAGCTGTTGTATTTTCTTTAATTCAGTAATTTAATCTATCAAAAGATTTAAGTCTGGAGATATTAACAGATGTTACAAGACTCACAACTCCAAATTGGTGACTGTTTGAACCCCCTGGATTACTAACCAGGTTATTGCTGACTGTAATATTATTAATTATTGATATTACTGCATGTGTTGGTAATCAAGCTTAATACCTCTGGGCTCCTAAATGTATCTATTCTAAATGCTGTATGAAAACTCAGGTCCCACAGTAGAGGCCTCAAGATAATCAAGTCTGTGGAACTAAATTCAGGTAGTATCCAAACCTGTCTGCTTTATTTAATGATCTGTAAACACTTCCTGAAACAAAGTTTTGCTACAACTCCTTTGACCTTTATTTTCCATTGCTACATAATAGTGTTTACATATACAATGCCTATCTTTCTTTTTTTCATCTTGTACACACAAAAAAGTGTGTGGCTTACAAAATAAATCCTACTCCTGAGCATGCTTATCCAAATTCAAAGAGTAGAGAATTAACAAAACGTTTAAAATACAGGTTCTAAAATACAGACCTTCTATCTTGTTGCCAGCCAAAGCAGGTTGAGAAACACTGCGATAAATGCCTTCAGCAGAGGCTGCAGAAGTGGGTGGGGTAATTTGCCTCTATTTCCTCTCTTGATTCGCTCTTTGCTTCTGTGGAGGAAAACACTCATAACGCTCGTTGTATTATTAAAAACCCACCTTACTATAAAAACATGCATTTATAGAAAAATATGTATAGAAAAAACACTATGTAAGTGTTTATATTCGTATATATACATACACACCATATATATGTGCATATATTATACAGAGTATAGAAGTCATATTCTTGCTATGTTTTTTCTCTTTCTCTAGCAGTGTATATGACCAAAGCATCCCAGCTTGCTTTGTGGGAAGATTTCTGCTGTTTGCAGAAGAAGAAATGTCCCCGATGGCTGCTGCCTTCACAACATGCATCTGAACATGTGCACTGCATGTTTTGGAAAAATAAAAATAAATAAAAAAGAAAGACTCTGTTCTGTGCATTGCCAAAAAAGTAAACATCTCTGCACCTCAAACTGCTGTTGAAAGACTATGGTTTATCCATCTTCTTAAAGCTCTTGTGAAAATTAAGGGGTTTGTTTTGATCAGCTTTTGTTGACTGTGGAAGAAGTTTCTCATTAAATATTACCTAATAGTACATCAAATTTGAACTTAAAGCCATGCAGAGGAAGTGCACACTACCAAACGGTACGGATGGAAATAAATTAAGCGGAGCATTTGCATTCTGGGAAGTTTTGCAAAGCGTTTATCTTCAGAAACAGCTTTTAAAACATGTTCAAAACTATCTACAATGCTATGCTCAGCAGTGAGGAGAGGGATACAGATACATGCATGCCAACAGCAGTTCTCTAAAGAGAAGCAGAAAAAAAGCATATTGAAACTTTGATCTCACAAACTTCCTTTCTGTATTGTCAGTGAATTTATAAATAAGGTTCATTATTGAAGGGAAGTTGATGCAATTCTCAAAGCTGTGAGGTAAGAGTTTTGGCTACTGTGCCTTCTGTTGGGCTGCTTACCTTCCCATTTTCACAGCATGACTGTTGAATTACTCCAGCAGTAAGCCCTTGAAACTGTCCATTTCTGAAGGACTGCAGAAAACACATACTACAGTATTTCCCAGTATTTGTAAGGCACGTCAGAGTTGAGTGCATTGAAGAGTTGTAAATGTTTAAGCAGAATGTGGTTTTAATTCTAGAATAAGGTAGAAAACTTAGTTACTTAAAAATATTCTTTAGTACACTCTTGGGTTCCAAGACTTGCAAGCAGAGTCACAGAAGGCTTCTGGAATTTTAATCCACACCCCCTAATTTTCAGTAAGGCATCACAGAGCAGAAAGCAATTAGGATGTGAGTTGATGGCCTCAAGCTGCACCAAGGCAGGTCCTGGTTGGATATTAGGGAATGTTTCTTCTCAGAAAGAGTGGTGACACAGTGGCACAGGATGCCCAGGGAGGTGGTGGAGGCACCGTCCATGGAGGTGCTCAATAACTGCGGATGTGGCACTGAGAAACGTGGTTTCATGGGCATAGGTTGACAGTTGGACTCAGTGATCCTAGGGGTCTTTTCCAGCCTTAATTATTTTACGACTTCAGTAGATGCTGTAGTGACAGAAGTGACTTTCCTCTGGTTCTTGTGGGACAACCTGCATTGGAGGAAAGGAGAAATTTGGCCTTGGTCCCCAGTTATAGGCCTTAACCATGTTACATCCCCAGAACATGAAGGCCGTGCTGGTACCAAGCTAACAAGTAGTGTGACAGTCTGCAAAGCTGCTTGTGCTGAGCCATGCAGGGCTTCATATCGAGTCAGGCCAGGCAACAGAGACACTGCACCCAATTACGGTTTTCAAAGTAATGTAAAAAATAGGTTTTTATGTTTTTAACAGAATTTAAAGAGAGAAAGCATTCTACTTCTGAAGAGAAATACTGGAGCAGAATATCTGACCACAGCCACGAAACAACTGGTCTATTAAACATGGTGCTGATTCAGTCTCTTTTCTGTGGTGCTCCTACTTTTCTCATGCCTCTCATCATGTTATTTTAGTAAAACAACCAAACAAAACCCAATCACTGTAACATGGAGGCCAAGCCAGAGACAATGAGCAAAGAAGTCAGCCTGGCGTATCTCATAGAAGGTGAGCTCACACACCTTGGCTTTATGAGCTGTTATTGCTGCATATCTGTTCTCAATTAAATTGACTTCTTTGATTTAAACCTGTTCAACTAGTCCTGTGTGCTGCTTCTTAAAATACAGTAATTTAATCTTAATTAACTTTAAACTTCAACATCTATGTTTCTACTAACATGTTGGCATATATACATGTTCATAGGTTTTCCACTCTGTATTTAATCAAGATGAAGTGTTTAAAGAGAAATGCTGGCAAGAAGCAAACAGAAGAAAACGTGGGAGATTCATTCAAATGTGGCCACCCAAACTGTAAACCCCACATATGACATCTGGGCTCAGTTCACATTGTTCTGGTGTCTGCCACTGAAACTGCCCTGACCAGCTGGACAAAAACTGTTTCTAAAAACCAAGCTAACAGCACGCATAGCATCACACAGCTGTGAGAAGTTATATTTAATAAATATTAGAGCAGAGCTCAATGCATGTAGATCATCCTTCCTATACTCTTTTTAGTGCTTGACTTCTAAGATGGTTATAAAAGTAACCACAGAAAGTTAGTTTCATTAGGAACAATTTCAGTAAATGAATCAGAACCCTTCAGGGCTTGCCTACCCCTCCCGTGTTCTCATAAATCTTTCTTACTTTCCTTCCTTACCCTTTAAAGACTGTATCTGTTCTACTGCCATCACTTTCTATGGGGACATTTATAACACAGAATTTGGATTTCTCAGTTCTGGCTAAATGAGTGTTGAGCAGATAACCCCTGGGACAGAAGTGATGAAATAACATGATAAATTTCAGTGAAACTTGGAAACAAGTAAGAGCTGACGATACTTGCAGATTTCACAGTCTTCTCTTTTTTCCTGTTTATTTTTCTCTCTCTCCCTCCCTATTCCTCCCCAGTTCTCCCAGTTGCAAGGCAAGCTGAGCCAAGCCCAAAACACGACTTACAGAGGCAGAGCTACTGCCACACTTCTCTTTTAAACAAAGAAGAAAGGGTAGTTAGGCTGCTCTCCAGCCCAAGCTATTCTAAACAGCGAATTCATAATTAGCTCTGCCATTTGGTAGACTGCTACGTTTCAGACTTCTTCTTTATGCTAAACATTAAAAGCAGAACCATCCCTGACTGTTAGTGCCGCAGCCACTTGTACCCACCATGGATGGATATGTAATGTTCGTGTTCCCAAGAGCAGCCCCAGGCATTACCAAGCCCTCCAGTAGAAGATTTCTGTTACTATCTAAACCCACGCAATGCTTATTTGTTCTGGGCTGCTTAACCACATACACACAAAGGGAAACTACACTTTGTTCTCAAAGATAGCACTGTGCAGACATCAGCACGCTGGCTCGGTGTCCTGGGGGTGGTTCTGCTCACTGATACTTCCCCCCAGCCCACACTGAACTGTGCAGTCTCAGGGAGCTCTGATGAGGAAACGCAGAGGCAAAACCAAACAAATAAACAACAACAACTAACACTTTCTCTGTGTGAAATCCAGACTCTTCCCCAGCCTTAGTGGTGGAGCACAGGCAGGGGAGAGCCAGCATTTTGCTGGTCATAGAGAGTGCAAACCTGACCCGAAGGCATCCTCCTCTGCATGCACACAAAGCTGCTTCCTGCTCGGACATGCTTTGCATTGTTGCCAGCAGTCAATATGACTCCATCTAGTTTTCTTTCCCTTCAGAATGGCTCTTGTAAGCTGTCCTGAACAAACGCTGCCCATCCAGCACCTGCCTGGACTGGAGGACCCACAGACCTCAGCAGGGCACCTGATTACCTTCCTTCTATCCTCCTTTTCCATCAGCCATTTACAAAAGCATTACCTGGACACTTCTCCCCAAGTTATTGGGCCATCCTCCTCTTGGTGAAGATGCAAAATGGGAGCTTAGACTCTCCAACCTGCCAGATGGAATAGCAGGGCAGCTGCTTGTGGCCAAGAAAAGCCATATAACTGTCAGGCCAAGCTGAACAGACATGAAGAGAATATCACTGAATCCTTCAGCCTTGCTTCAGAGGTGAGGTTTTAAAGCATTTCCTCATTCGGAGTAGAAGTCTTTTTTTTTTTTTTTTTTCCTTTGTGCAAACTCAGTGCCCTGACTCAATAACACATCTTTAAACTAGCTATTGTTGCTTCACAAACACCTGGGGTGGGGAGTAGGGTGCAGGTGCAGAGACTTCCCCCTCAGGGCATCCAGAAACACAACATTCAGGGCGCAGAAGCTGATATCAAACCACCCTCACTGCAGTCTCACCTTCCTTCCCCCCTCATCTCACAGACATGTATTTCTTGAATGCACGACACACGGAGAAGCTTCTTGTATCACTTCAAAAAGAAAACCTCCAGGAAATCTCTCTCTCAGTGCTTTCTTTTCTACATACCAACTTTTATATCAACAAACTGCATGGGTCATGAGCTGTAAGCTTGGCCAATCCACTGCTGATTTTGTTCCCATTTGAAATCAAGTTTTGCTTTCAAGTTCAAGACGAGTTGATTTTCTCTTCCTGCACACAGCTGCCAGCAGCTCTGTGACCTTTCTCAAGTGCTGCAAGTTTCCTGTGAGAATTTCCTCTTCTTGAAGTACTGAGAGCCTCCCAGCACGCCTGTATTCTCATCCAGGTTTTCTATTTAAACTTTTACAAATTTAAGACCAAAAAAAAAAAAAAAAAAGCAAAATCGTCATTTGTTTGGCCTCATTGTATGATGAGGAACAGGACTTCTGCTTTGGGTTTGCTTTTCTCCTCAGTTCCGGTGCTGAGACGAAAATAAGCAAAAGTGATTTCCAGCAACCTTCATTTGAGAATCCTTTTTGTCTTTGTGGATTTCAGCATACTTGCCCCATTTCTTCTGTGTGTTTTTATTATTAGCACACATGCAAATGTCAGAGAGAACAGCAGTAGCAAGGTGCATGAAGGTAGACTGGGTAGCATAGCTCCCAAAGGTCCAGAGGAGCTGAGTTATAAACCATAGCAAAGTCCTACCTGGCTTGATCGTTGGCAAATGGTGCCAAGCAAATTAGTGATTTTGGCAGTAATTATCTATAAACATCTTGAGTTTATAAACATGAGGGTGTTGTGTACACAAGTATCTGAGACATGTATGAATATAGATTTATATATGCCACATATTGCACATCTTTTGAATATATAGTTAGCATAGAATTGGTAATCACATACAGGTATGCACAATTATCATATATTTAATCTATACTTACTGCATTTGCAATACATAAATGCATTATATCTGTAATGTAAAAAAACAAATTTTAGAGTTCAATGGTACCTGGTAAAACTGGCAGAGCTTTCACAGGACTTCTGGAAAGCAGCTTTTGCTTGCAGTCTTCACAACACCATTAACATCCATTGTACAGCTTCATCCCATTCAGCAAGTAAGACCTTTGCCTGTGAGAATTTCCAGAAGCAACATGTCCATGCCTTGTTATTTTGCTTCTCCAACAGGAAAATTCCTGTGCTGTGCATCCTCAGCAGCTGCCCCACCTCTGCAGTTCTGGCATACTTCCCTCAGGAGCTCTGCTTATTTCCTAAGCTGCTGCCAATAGAACTGAATTTTGTCCTCTGGGTGTAGGTGCTTGGCTGCACCATGCAGCAAGGGAAACCATGAGAGAATAGCAGCACTCTGCTGTCACCATAGCAGTGTGACAGCAGCAACACCACAAACATGCTTCCAGCCCAAAATATCAAGTGGCTTAAACCTGGAATCATTCTCACAGTTCTACTACAGCATAAAGGGCCACATCTGGAAAAGGTGGGAAGGAAGAAAGCCTGGGAGATGCTCAAGTTAGAACAGAAGAGATTTTTTTTTCACTAAATCACAATCTGTTAGCTCTTAAAAACAAAACAAAACAAAAAAACATTTTTAGAGCCAGTTTAAAGAAAGCCTCCCACAACAACATTGTGCTCATCTGCCTCTGGCCATCACTTTGTTATCTCAGCCATTGGCTGGCTGCAAGGTAACTAGGTAAAAATTGGGAGGATGCAGATAGGAGAAGTTCTGCAGTGAATTATACATCTTTTACACAGCATTCAGCTTGCTTATTCTCAGATGCAGTATCTTTACAGTCTGGCCCACAGAACCAAACCTAGGATGATTTTGCTTTCTGGCATATACAAGGCAGAAGAATAAAAGTATTAGGGGCAAAATTAACAAACACACAGTACATTAAGGAGTAACCAGTATGTGCTAACTAGAGCATGATCTCCACCTGAACTGATGAAAGCTGGAGACCTCTCTCATGTGAGAAGAAAAAATTTTTGTCC